CTCTCTACATTTTCTTCATCTGTTTCTGCTGCTAAGGCCACTTTCTACCACTCTAAATTCCAAGCATCTGCCTCTAACCCTAGGAAGCTCTTTGCCACATTCTCCTCACTGCTGAATCCTCCAGGCTCACTCCTGGATTGCGTCCTACCTGACCGGTCGCTCCTACCAAGTGGCGTGGCGAGAAGCTGTCTCCGCACCACGTGCTCTCACCACTGGTGTCCCCCAGGGCTCAGTTCTAGGCCCTCTCCTTTTCTCCCTATACACCAAGTCACTTGGCTCTGTCATATCCTCACATGGCCTCTCCTATCATTGCTACGCTGACGATACACAAGTAATCTTCTCCTTTCCCCCTTCTGATAACCAGGTGGCGAATCGCATCTCTGCATGTCTGGCAGACATATCAGTATGGATGACGGATCACCACCTCAAGCTGAACCCTGGCAAGACGGAGCTGCTCTTCCTCCCGGGGAAGGACTGCCCGTTCCATGATCTCGCCATCACGGTTGACAACTCCGTTGTGTCCTCCTCCCAGAGTGCGAAGAGCCTTGGCGTGACCCTGGACAACACCCTGTCGTTCTCCGCTAACATCAAGGCGGTGACCCGATCCTGCAGGTTCATGCTCTACAACATTCGGAGAGTACGACCCTGCCTTACACAGGAAGCGGCACAGGTCCTAATCCAGGCACTTGTCATCTCCCGTCTGGATTACTGCAACTCGCTGTTGGCTGGGCTCCCTGCCTGTGCCATTAAACCCCTACAACTCATCCAGAATGCTGCAGCCCGTCTGGTGTTCAACCTTCCCAAGTTCTCTCACGTCACCCCCCTCCTCCGCACACTCCACTGGCTTCCAGTTGAAGCTCGCATCCGTTACAAGACCATGGTGCTTGCCTATGGAGCAGTGAGGGGAACGGCACCTCCGTACCTTCAGGCTCTGATCAGTCCCTACACCCAAACGAGGGCATTGCGTTCATCCACCTCTGGCCTGCTGGCTCCCCTTCCTCTGCGGAAGCATAGTTCCCGCTCAGCCCAGTCAAAACTGTTCGCTGCTCTGGCACCCCAATGGTGGAACAAGCTCCCTCACGACGCCAGGACAGCGGAGTCACTCACCACCTTCCGGAGACATTTGAAACCCCACCTCTTTAAGGAATACCTGGGATAGGATAAAGTAATCCTTCAACCCCCCCAAAAAAATAAAAAAATTAATGTAAAGTGGTTATCCCACTAGCTATAGGGTGAATGCACCAATTTGTAAGTCGCTCTGGATAAGAGCGTCTGCTAAATGACGTAAATGTAAATGTAAATGTAAGGCAAAGGGTGGCTACTTTGAAGAATCTAAAAAAATATATATATATTTTGATTTGTTTAACACTTTTTGGGTTACTACATGATTTCATAGTTGATGTCTTCACTATTATTCTACAATGTAGAAAATAGTAAGAATTAAGAAAAACCCTTGAATGAGTAGGTGTGTCCAAACTTTTGAATGGTACTGTATGTAAATAAGGTATTTCTAAAAACCTGTTTTCGCTTTGTCGTTATGGGGTATTGTGTGTAGATTGCTGAGGATATATTTTTATTTAATCCATTTTAGAATAAGGCTGTAACGTAAACAAAATGTGGAAAAAGTCACGGGGTCTGAATACTTTCCGAAGGCACTGTAGGTAGGAACTACCGAATGTCATTTTTGATGAGTTTGGGCATTTACAAGCGAATGTGAACGAGAGAGAGACATTATGCAAATGAAACATTATTTATGCATACAGTACTGGCTCTCCAGCAGCATGTCTACACACTGTGGGAGTCGCTAGGGCAACAGGCCTGCCTGCTCTGCTTGGAGAGGAGGGGGGAGGAGCAGAGGGGGGAGGAGCAGAGGGCGGAGGAATAGGGGGGAGGAGCAGAGGGGGGAGGAGCAGAGGGGGGAGGAGCAGAGGGGGGGGAGAAATAACTGGCTACATCATAATTATGATGGCTATGCATCGTTTATGCAAAAAAATACCTTGCTTTTTCATTGTAAGCCAAATAGCATTGCACTTCTGTTGTCATCTGATGAAAATTATGCTATTTTATGTTGAATGTGTTGCTCTAATGTATTTTCTGTGAAGGAAAACTATAGTTGCACGTCCCCCCGACACTCTAATGAAGGAAAAAAAACACTTGACTTTTAATACAAAATGCGAAAGTATAATGTATTTGAAAGTTAACGCCTCCCAAAGAAACATGATGATGAAACCAGTATAGGTTTTAGAACACACTGTAATTATGCATAAAACACGGAATAGTTCCTGGCTGAAGCGGAAGCTTTTTCTTGAACGCTCGTTAGGGAGAACTTACAGTTCCACCATGTTTAACAGTATGTGAGCGTCCTCCTGTTCTTCACCACATGAAGAGCAGCGGCCATTTTGAGCCAAGAAACTCAACCCGGTCACACTAAACCCTTTTACTTGTTCGACCATAACAGGGTTGTGAGACTGTGACAGGGTTGAAGGGTTGTGAGACTGTGACAGGGTTGAAGGGTTGTGAGACTGTGACAGGGTTGAGAGACTGTGACAGGGTTGAAGGGTTGTGAGACTGTGACAGGGTTGACTTTGTCAATTTGTTTGTTTTGTTATCTAAATATTCAAATGAATTATTTATCTTCATTATTTTAACCACATGCATATGTTGACTGTAATGTCGTCCATGTTATGAATACAGCGCCTTCAGAAAGTATTCATACCCCCTTGACTTATTCCACATTTTGTTGTTACAGCCTGAATTCAAAATGGATTAAATAAATAAATACATCAATCTCACCCATCTACACACAATACCCCATAATGACAAAGTGAAAACATGTTTTTTATCAATTTTAGCAAATGTATGGAAACTGAAATATCTAATTAACATAAGTCAATACTATAGAAGCACCTTTGGCAGCGATTACAGCTGTGAGTCTTTCTGGGTAAGTCTCTAAGAGCTTTCCACACCTGGATTGAGCAACATTTGCCCATTATTCTTTAAAAAAAATCTTCAAGCTCTGTCAAATTGGTTGTTGATCATTGCTAGACAATTTTCAGGTCTTGCCGTAGATTGAAGTCAAAACTGTAACTTGACCCCTCAAGAACATTCACTGTCTTCTTGGCCTTGTGTTTTAGGATATTGTCCTGCTGAAATGTGAATTCATCTTCCAGTGTCTGGTGGAAAGCAGACTGAACCAGGTTTTCCTCTAGGATTTTGCCTGTGCTTAGCTCCATTCTCCATTTCTTTTTTTATCCTGAAAAACTCCTCAGTCCTTAACGATTACAAGCACACCCATAACATGATGCAGCCACCACTATGCTTGGAAATATGGAGATCGGTACCCAGTAATGTGTTGCATTGGATTTGCCCCAAACATAATCTTTGGACAGATAATTGTATGTGTGGGGTACAGAGATTAGGTAGTCATTAAAAAACCATGTTAAACACTATTATTGGACACAGAGTGAGTCCATGCAACTTATTATGCTTGGTCAGTGTTGTAGTCTCCGATACGATGAAGACCTACAGTGTATTTCCAGACATCATCCTTAACACAGATTAAACATGTCCAGGTAAAGTGTATACATCACATTGATCAAACATTATTCTGGTGATGACCTTCACTGGTACCTGTTTGATGACCTTCACTGGTGATGACCTTCACTGGTACCTGTTTGATGACCTTCACTGGTGATGACCTTCACTGGTACCTGTTTGATGACCTTCACTGGCACCTGTTTGCCAGGGTTGTGGGTTCGATTCCCACGGGGGGGCAGTATGAAAATGTATGCACTCACAGAAAAACGGTAAGTTGCTCTGGATAAGAGCGTCTGCTAAATGACTAAAATGTAAAAATGTAGTGCGTACGGCCCAGTACATCACTGGGGCCAAGCTTCCTGCCATCCAGGACCTCTATACCAGGCGGTGTCAGAGGAAGGCGCTAATAATGGTCAGCTAATCATGGCTACCCGGACTATTTGCACTGGCCTCCCACCCCATCTTTTTATGCTGTTGCTACTCTGTTAATTATTTATGCATAGTCACTTTAACCTCTACCCACATGTACATATTACCTCAACTAGCCGGTGCCACCGCACATTGACTCTGCACCGGTACCCCCCTGTAATATAAGCCTCCTACTGTTATTTTTATTTTTACTTCGCTCTTTTTTTCTCAACACTTTTTTGTTGTTGTTTTATTTTACTTTATTATTAAAAATAAATGCATTGTTGGTTAAGGGCTGTAAGTAAGCATTTCACGGTAATGTCTACACCTGTTGTATTCGGCGCATGTGGATTTTTTATTTTTATTATATTTTATTTGAGCAGAGTTTCTTTTTTTCCAATGCTATCTGGCCAACAGGCTACCCTCTAGTCTCCACTGGCTATCTGGCCAACAGGCTACCCTCTAGTCTCCACTGGCTATCTGGCCAACAGGCTACCCTCTAGTCTCCACTGGCTATCTGGCCAACAGGCTACCCTCTAGTCTCCACTGGCTATCTGGCCAACAGGCTACCTCTAGTCTCCACTGGCTATCTGGCCAACAGGCTACCCTCTAGTCTCCACTGGCTATCTGGCCAACAGGCTACCCTCTAGTCTCCACTGGCTATCTGGCCAACAGGCTACCCTCTAGTCTCCACTGGCTATCTGCCAATCAGGCTACCCTCTAGTCTCCACTGGCTATCTGGCCAACAGGCTACCCTCTAGTCTCCACTGGCTATCTGGCCAACAGGCTACCCTCTAGACAGTCTCTTCTGCTGATGTGTGTGTGTCTGGTAGCAGTACTCCATCTATCCTACTGTTTTCCTTTCAGCAGGGTTAAGACCTGCCTGACACTTTATCTTTACCCTTCTCTGAACATCTTACCGACGACCTCCGCTTGACCGTTCAGTAAGATTACCTGTTCAGTTAAGCTGGACCTGTTTGAGAAACATGGACCTGTTGAGTAACAGACGACCTGTTGACCTGTTCAGTAAGATGACCTGTTGAACCCTGTTCAGTCACGATGACCTGTTGACCTGGTTCAGTAAGCGGACCTGTGTTGGACCTGTTCAGTACTGGGACCTGTTGGACCTGTTCAGTAAGATGACCGGTTGGGCCTGTTCAGTAAGATGACCTGTTGACCTGTTTCAGGTAAGATGACCTGTTGCAGTAATATGACCTATTCAGTTAAGACGACCTGTTGACCTGTTCGGTAAGATGACCTGTTGAGTAAGATGACCTGTTGACCACTGTTCAGTAAGATGACCTGTTCCGTAAGATGACCTGTTGACCTGGTTCATGACCGTTTGACCTGTTCAGTAAGATGACCTGTTGACCTGTTCGGTAAGATGACCTGTTGACTAGATTACTGTTGACCTGTTCAGTAAGATGACCTGTTCAGTAAGACGACCTGTTGACCTGTTCAGTAAGATATGATCAAAACCTGTTGACCTGTTCAGTAAGATGACCTGTTGACCTGTTCAGTAAGATGACCTGTTGACCTGTTCAGTAAGATGACCTGTTGACCTGTTCAGTAAGATGACCTGTTGATGTCAGTAAGATGACCTGTTGACCTGTTCAGTAAGATGACCTGTTCAGTAAGATGACCTGTTGACCTGTTCGTATAGTAGATGGACCTGTTCTGACCTGTTCAGTAAGATGACCGTTGACCTGTTCAGTAAGATGACCTGTTGACCTGTTCAGTAAGATGGACCTGTTCAGTAAGATGACCTTTGACTGTTCAGTAAGACCTGTTAGATGACCTGTTTGACTGTTGACCTGTTCAGTAAGATAACCTGTTGACCTGTTCAGTAAGATGACCTGTTGACCTGTTCAGTAAGATGACCTGTTCAGTAAGATGACCTGTTGACCTGTTCGGTAAGATGACCTGTTGAGTAAGATGACCTGTTGACCTGTTCAGTAAGATGACCTGTTCAGTAAGATGACCTGTTGACCTGTTCAGTAAGATGACCTGTTGACCTGTTCAGTAAGATGACCTGTTGACCTGTTCAGTAAGATGACCTGTTGACCTGTTCAGTGATAGTGTCTGCAATGTTTGTTTGTTTAGTATCTTACTCCAGTTGGGTAAATACTCATTACATGGTTATATCTATGAAATACAATGTTTATAGAAAATATTGGGAGTGCTTTTGAGATGAACAAAAACTATTTAAATGGAAGCCGTATTTGTCTTTTCAACCTCGTCTCAACCCTGTTACATGACAATGTTGTGACCACTGACAGTGTCCATCTCAGACGTTAGTACAGCAAAAGTGTGAGATTTTATAGTTGCAATTTTTTTATTAGTTTAAGGGACATGTGAAATGTTCATTTTATTACAAGTATAGTTTATAATCATATTCAGACAACTTCCATAGTGTCCATAACGGACAAATGGTGTCCATATCAGATGAAAATGGCTGATAATGATAGGGCTTTGATGCCTGAGTTGGAAAAATATGTCTTCTTGGAGGTAAAATATGTCCTTAATGTCGTGGGGTGTTCAGATTTTTTTATTTTTTATTTTTTTGTAAAAATCGTACCGGTTTTGTGTAATGTCCCAGCTGCAGACTGCTACTAGCTCTGCTTCACTTCTCAGCTAGCGGAGATGTTATCAAATCACTACTCAGCTAGCGGAGATGTTATCAAATCACTACTCAGCTAGCGGAGATGTTATCAAATCACTACTCAGCTAGCGGAGATGTTATCAAATCACTACTCAGCTAGCGGAGATGTTATCAAATCACTACTCAGCTAGCGGAGATGTTATCAAATCACTACTCAGCTAGCGGAGATGTTATCAAATCCATGTCTACACCCACACTGGGTTACATACCACTGGGTTACATACCACTGGGTTACATACCACTGGGTAGGCAGTCCAACACTATTTGGCACTACATGACTGCATCCCAAACGGCATCCTATTTCCTATATATTGCACGCTAGATAGGGAATGGGGTGCTATTTGAGACACCGTCATGGATTCATACCAGTTAACCTTCAACCTAATCTCCAGGCTATTGGGCACAGGAGGAAGAGTCTGGTCCGGTGTGGTGTATGTAACCTTGGCAACCCAGAACCAAATCTTGTGTGAGCAGCCTGTTTGCTTACATTTGGTTCCTAGTGAATACACCCTGGGTGTGGGAGACAGACCACCAACCAGCAAACGTTAGACATAGTATGTGAGGTAGGTCCCTCTTTGGCCAGAGGATTTCTGCTCTGCTGGATAGCTGGATCTGTTAGTGCTTCAACAACAACATGATAAAAACATGATGAAGATGCTGCTTGACTCTTCAAGGGCTTTAGGCTACATCAAAGACCATCAAACACCTGCATTGTTTACAAAAAGATAACTGGCAACCAACCGTTCTCAACAGACTGCAACCTTCCGTTCTCAACAGACTGCAACCTTCCGTTCTCAACAGACTGCAACCTTCCGTTCTCAACAGACTGCAACCTTCCGTTCTCAACAGACTGCAACCAACCGTTCTCAACAGACTGCAACCTTCCGTTCTCAACAGACTGCAACCTTCCGTTCTCAACAGACTGCAACCTTCCGTTCTCAACAGACTGCAACCTTCCGTTCTCAACAGACTGCAACCTTCCGTTCTCAACAGACTGCAACCTTCCGTTCTCAACAGACTGCAACCTTCCGTTCTCAACAGACTGCAACCAACCGTTCTCAACAGACTGCAACCTTCCGTTCTCAACAGACTGCAACCAACCGTTCTCAACAGACTGCAACCTTCCGTTCTCAACAGACTGCAACCAACCGTTCTCAACAGACTGCAACCATCCGTTCTCAACAGACTGCAACCTTCCGTTCTCAACAGACTGCAACCTTCCGTTCTCAACAGACTGCAACCTACCGTTCTCAACAGACTGCAACCTTCCGTTCTCAACAGACTGCAACCTTCCGTTCTCAACAGACTGCAACCTTCCGTTCTCAACAGACTGCAACCTTCCGTTCTCAACAGACTGCAACCTTCCGTTCTCAACAGACTGCAACCTCCGTTCTCAACAGACTGCAACCTCCGTTCTCAACAGACTGCAACCTTCCGTTCTCAACAGACTGCAACCTTCCGTTCTCAACAGACTGCAACCTCCGTTCTCACAGACTGCAACCACCGTTCTCAAAGACGCAACCTCGTTCAACAACTGCATACCGTGTCTTCAACAACGACCTTCCTTCTAACAACTGCAACCTTCGTTCAACAGACTGCAACTTCCGTTCTAGACTCAACCTTCCGTTCTACAGACTGCAACCACGTTCTCAACAGACTGCAAATTCCGTTCTCAAAGCTGCAACCTTCCGTTCTCACGACTACAACCTTCTCACAATGCAACCAAACCGTTTCAACAGACTGCACCAACCGTTCTCAACAGCTGGCAACCAACTTCTCAACAACTGCACTTCGTTCTCAACAGACTGCCACCTTCCGTTCAACATGCAACCTTCCGTTCTCAACAGACTGCAAACGTTTCAAGCGCAACTTCTTTCAAAGATGCAACCTTCCTTCTCCACTGCACCTTCCGTTCTCAACAACTGCAACTTCCTGTTCTTCACAGACTGCACTTCCCGTCAACAGACGCAACCTTCCGTTGCTAACAGACGCAACCTTCCGTTCTAACAGACGCACCTTCCTTTTCACAACGCAACCTTTCGATTCTCACAGACTCAACCTTCGTTCTCAACAACTGCAACCTTCGTTTCACAACTGCAACTTCCGTTCTCAACAGACTGCAACCTTCCGTTCTCAACAGACTGCAACCTTCTAACACCAAAACAAGCTGTACATATTAGTAGGGTGTCTAATCAAAAACGCGTCTTTTGACCAATGGGTAAAATAATATGTTCATTGTATAGATACTCCTCTAAGAAAACCAACGGTCCAAACCTCATGTCTCTTTCATAATCTGTTCTAAAGCTATTGGAGTTTTTACCCTTGTAGGATGGCCAGAATTAGGGTGATTCAATCAATGGAGGCCAGAGAATAAAAGTGGTAAAAATATCTGGAAAATAGCATTGAGTCAGCTAAACTGGCCACCCTTTCCCTTGAACTCATCATCTTTCTTCTCCAATCCGCAGAACATTAAGCAATATAGAGGTATGATAGTTCATCTTTTTGTATTTGGTTTTCATATTAATTCTAAATTCCTGTTCTTTTTCGACGCTTTCTCACAAAAACAAGCGATTCTCTGTGAAATGTCAACGGAGCACTGAGCGTATACCAAGCTCTTTATTTTCAAGCCTTTTACATTTAATTCAGCTTGTGTCATGCTAATTTAGCTTTTTGCGACACGCGGAAACAACTTTGAAGACGACGACTACAAAATGTAAAATCTTCAAAAGTTCTTACGAGAAACCTGCACTGCTATGTCAACAGAGCTTGGTGCTTATTATCGGATGTATTGGGTTAAAAAATCTGACTTTTTGGATTTAATGATATGTTAGAGAAAGACCCCACTGAACGATTCAGAACATGAATAATCATATTTGTCTTGGTAAAATGTATTTTTGAACATAAAGAAGTGAAAAGTCATCACCAAAGGGCGTTTGGACACCCTAATATTAGTTGTCTTGACTCTCATTTCGGTCTCTTCATTGGCTAATCCTTTGGCCGGCCGGTGGGACAGAAAGCTTCTAGATCACCCTGTCTATGGTATCAGGGTCATACTCATTAGTGCACACCGTAGAAAAACGTTAAACAACGCAAAGCGTTCTGCAACACAAAATGAGTTTCTTATTGGACAAGTTCAGGTTGTCTGTTTTCTTCTGTTTGGTTTGTAGTGAATACGACCCAGGGCTATTTTGGTACAGAACAGGGCTTCCAGACAGACACGGTACCATCCACTCTGCTCCATGGATTTTCCCAGCAGGCCATTGTCTCACGTCAGATGGCGTCACTCCTACGCGACGCTCGTCCCTCAACCCATCTGTCATGTAGGACGTGGAACTCATCTCTAATCATCTAGATTTTGCTCATCCGCCTAACAACTAGTTCCTAATTCTGAAAATCACTCCGCTCTCAGTAGCTATGACACACTGGCTTCTACGGCAAACCATGCTCGATCAGGCTGAGCAAACTTGTCTCCAGCTAGCAGCCTAGCGCAAGCTTGTTTGAAGGGCCATACGCTAGCTAGTTTGCCAGCTTGTTGATGAGGTTGAGAGGCACCAAAGGTATGAGACTGTTCTCAGTAATCAGCAGGCATGCGACTCTGACAAGCTCGCACTGTCTCTCGCTACATTTGGCCAATGTGATGACATCACAGAGAGCAGTCAGCTGTGCTGTAGAACCAATCACGGCGGAACAGATATCTTGAAAACTCATTTGTTCATTAGCTAGAGCTTCAGTTAGCTAGCTGGAGGGAGTATTCCGCATCGAGCTACAGGGAGTATTCCGCATCGAGCTACAGGGAGTATTCCGCATCGAGCTACAGGGAGTATTCCGCATCGAGCTACAGGGAGTATTCCGCATCGAGCTGGAGGGAGTATTCCCCATCGAGCTACAGGGAGTATTCCCCATCGAGCTACAGGGAGTATTCCGCATCGAGCTGGAGGGAGTATTCCCCATCGAGCTACAGGGAGTATTCCGCATCGAGTGTGTGAACTGGCGTTGTTAGCCTCCCTGCCTTTCCTCTCACATGGGTTGATTTGAGACTGGTTCAGCCAGCCAGCAGACACTAGCCAGCAGACACTAGCCAGCAGACACTAGCCAGCAGACACTAGCCAGCAGACACTAGCCAGCAGACACTAGCCAGCAGACACTAGCCAGCAAACACTAGCCAGCAGACACTAGCTAGCAGACACTAGCTAGCAGACACTAGCCAGCAGACACTAGCCAGCAGACACTAGCCAGCAGACACTAGCTAGCAGACACTAGCCAGCAGACACGTTAACTAGCTCATTTTAGTGCACATTTCGCATTTCATAAATACTGATTCTACCGCCACAGAACGCTTTAGTTAGATGTAGAATCAGGTAGCGAAGACTTATTAGCTCCAGGTTTATATTAGCTCCAGGTTTATATTAGCTCCAGGTTGATATTAGCTCCAGGTTTATATTAGCTCCAGGTTGATATTAGCTCCAGGTTGATATATTTTGGTAAGATTAACTCTGACTCTTTTAGATGATGTAAGGGGCTTTTAGTGGACGATGTCACCTTGGTAACATTTTCGACTGTTAGGACAGCATATTGTAGCCAAACTTCTTTTTCGCAAGTCTTTGCAAGTTATCAGACAGATCAGTGCAGACGGCCGTTGCGCTACCTGACGTGAGACAATGCCCAGCAGGCAGGATGGGATGTTCCACTGACTGGGTTTCACAAATAGAAACACCAAAACTAAAAAGACTTCCGTCTGTAGCCCCATTTCCTTGGCAATCTCCCTTCGACAGTGTCTGTGTCTGACACCGGTAACTCGGGTAGAGGAAGCGTTTCAGATGTTATGTCCACTTTCCGCTGTGCTCCAGAGGGCAGCTGGCCGTTTCAGTCTTCCTCTGTTTGGGTCTCCTGTGGCTGCTTGTCCTGTAGTAGTGGAATGACAGACTCCCACGAAGCAAGGCACTGAAACACACAGAGAGGTGGTAAGAGTTAACCGACAGATATGACCAGAGACAGAGTGACACTGAATGCATCCAAAGACACGAGATAAAAGGTTTCTAAATGTCTTTCTTGGTGTAACCCGGATTATGATAGTTACACTCGGTTCAGTTCTCCTCTGTTAGTTCCTCTACAGCCCCTTCCTACTTCCTGTTGACCCAGGCCCTTTTAGTTCCTCTACAGCCCCTTCCTACTTCCTGTTGACCCAGGCTGTGAAATGTAGCACAGCCTGGACAGTATTCTGGCATCAGGCTTAGTGTAGCTAGTCTTCTGCTAAATTCCATTGTCAAAAGTCACCAAAGGGCTTTAATACCTTTAGTTAGAATGTGTTACTGTTTATTTTGCCTTCGTTTATTTAACCAGGGATGGTGAACCTTCAGCCTGCTGCACAGACACCATGAAATCACTAGTCTAGAAGGCACGGTTGTAATTGTGTTGGGAGATCATTTTTTTAACTCTCCAAATGGTTAAATGAGTGAGAAATAGATGTAATCATTGCAATAGTTTGTGAGTGGGAGACATATAACATCATCCTAAATTGGCATGGTGAATTATTTTACAATATGACATTCTTTTATATATTGCACTAAGGTGGACAGTTTGTGTTACTACCAATTGAGTGGAATTACACATCCTCTTTAAAACAGATTAATATCTATGGTTTGATACCGTTGATTTTATCAAATGCGCAACAACTAACTTAAAACGCAGTTGATAATTTTCAAACTCAAATGGCGAGGAAAAATCGAGGCGCACTCTGTATAAAAGTCGCTGGACACAAACAAATACACAGATTTGACAGTCAAGCTAGCTATCACTCAAATGAAAGCCAACCCCTGTCACTATATAGAACTACCTGTGAAGGTGATGATTTGTAAAAAAAAAAAAAAATCCAGTCAAAAAAAGTGTTGCGTTTTCCTTTTCATATGGGTCATCTACCATAAACATTGTGGCTCAAGGAGATGAGTTGATAAATGGCTACTACATGTTCTCATATATCAACAGATATCTGTAGTATACAGAGTTCCTTGTGTCTTTTAGAAGAACGCTGCATTTAATTGTCTCAGTTCCATTGATTTCTATCCAATATCGATGTATTTTGTATTTAATGTGAGGGATTAATTTGCGCGCACTATTGATTACGGTAGAACAAGCTAATCATTTCCAGTTTAGAGTGGCCGCTTGGTAAATGTTGGTGTGTGTGCAGTTTATAAGGTAGCCTTCTAAATTAGCTAAATATAAGTAATCTGAACACAAGTGTGACACGTGTGTAGGGAGTAACTTGTATGTCTTCAACATATTGATTATACATTTGGAAGTTAAAAACCTGTGTTTTGACACTGGGCTATACATCAAAAATCGATGACAACAGGAAGCAGCAACAGTATCAATTTCAATTTATGTGGTCCTCTGTAGCTCAATTGGTAGAGCATGGCGCTTGTAACGCTAGGGTAGTGGGTTCGATCCCCGGGACCACCCATACGTAAAAATGTATGCACACATGACTGTAAGTCGCTTTGGATAAAAGCGTCTGCTAAATGGCTTATTATTATATTATTATTATATTATGTTGTAGGAAAATAAATTATACTTAAAAAAACAAATAGACAGGATTTGACTTAATGAGCCTAAAACCTGCTACGATTGATAGATTGATGATATTAGTGAAATCGTGAAAATACATTGGATAAATAAGAAACGTTTTCCTTTTCAAAGCAAAGTACTACAACCCTTCTTGAATGGACACATGATAACAACATGCAGCAGTCTGTTGTAGTCTCCTGTTATTACCTTCTCATAGTAGTGGATGTTGTGGTCGGCCATGCCAGTCAGTAGCTGTCTGAAGTCTCCCCTCTTACCTTCTCATAGTAGTGGATGTTGTGGTCGGCCATGCCAGTCAGTAGCTGTCTGGAGTCTCCCCTCTTACCTTCTCATAGTAGTGGATGTTGTGGTCGGCCATGCCAGTCAGTAGCTGTATTACCTTCTCATAGTAGTGGATGTTGTGGTCGGCCATGCCAGTCAGTAGCTGTCTGAAGTCTCCCCTCTTACCTTCTCATAGTAGTGGATGTTGTGGTCGGCCATGCCAGTCAGTAGCTGTCTGAAGTCTCCCCTCTTACCTTCTCATAGTATGGATGTTGTGGTCGGCCATGCCAGTCAGTAGCTGTCTGAAGTCTCCCCTCTTACCTTCTCATAGGTAGTGGATGTGGTGTGGTCGGCCATGCCAGTCAGTAGGCTGTATTACCTCTCATAGTAGTGATGTTGTGGTCGTGGCCATGTGCAGCAGTAGCTTCTGAATTTCTCCCCTCTTACCTTCTCATAGTAGTGGAGGTTGTGGTCGTCCGCCAGTCCATTAGCTGTCTGAAGTCTCCCCTCTTACCTTCTCATAGTAGTGGATGTTGTGGTTCGGCCATGACAGTCAGAGCTGTCTGAAAGTCTCCCCTCTTACCTTCTCCTAGTAGGTGGATTTTGTGGTCGGCCTATGCCAGTCAGTAGCTGTATTACCTTCTCATAGTAGTGGATGTTGTGGTCGGCCAATGCCAGTCATTAGCTGTCTGAAGTCTCCCCCTCCTTACCTTCTCATAGTAGTGGATGTTGTGGTCATCCATTCCACAGTCATTAGCTGTGTCTAAGTCTCCTCCCCCTTACCTTCTCATAGTTAGTGGATGTTGTGGTCGGCCATGCCAGTCAGTAGCTGTCTGAAGTCTCCCCTCTTACCTTCTCATAGTAGTGGATGTTGTGGTCGGCCATGCAGTCAGTAGCTGTCTGAAGTCTCCCATCTTACCTTCTCATAGTAGTGGATGTTGTGGTCGGCCTGCCAGTCAGTAGCTGTCTGAAGTCTCCCCTCTTACCTTCTCATAGTAGTGGATGTTGTGGTCGGCCATGCCAGTCAGTAGCTGTCTGAAGTCTCCCCTCTTACCTTCTCATAGTAGTGGATGTTGTGGTCGGCCATGCCAGTCAGTAGCTTTAGTCCTTACTTCTCATAGTAGTGGATGTTGTGGTCGGCCATGCCAGTCAGTAGCTGTCTGAAGTCTCCCCTCTTACCTTCTCATAGTAGTGGATGTTGTTGGTCGGCCATGCCAGTCAGTAGCTGTCTGGAGTCTCCCCTCTTACCTTCTCATAGTCGTGGATTGTTGTGGTCGGCCATGCCAGTCAGTAGCTGTCTGGATTCCCCCCTCTTACCTTCTCATAGTAGTGGATGTTGTGGTCGGCATGCCTCCAGTAGCTGTCTGAGTCTCCCCTCTTACGCTCTCATAGTAGTCGGATTTTGTGGTCGGCCATGCAGTCAGTACTGTCTGAAGTCTCCCCTCTTACCTTCTCATGTAGTGGATGTTGTGGTCGGCCAATGCCCAGTCAGTAGCTGTCTGAAGTCTCCCCTCTTACCTTCTCATAGTAGTGGATGTTGGTGGTCGGGCCATGCCAGTCATAGCTGTATTACCCTTCTCGCATAGTGTGGATGTTGTGTCGGCCATGCCAGTCAGTAGCTGTCTGAAGTCTCCCCTCCTTATACTCTCTAGTAGTGGATGTTGTGGTCGGCCATGCAGTCAGTAGCTGTCTGAAGTCTCCCCTTTACCTTCTGCATAGTATCGGATGTTGTGGTCGGCCATGCCAGTCAGTAGCCTGTCTAAGTCCCTCCCCTCTTACTTCTCTAGTAGTGATGTTTGGTCGACCCCATTGCCAGTCAGTAGCTGTATTCCCTTCCTCATATTAGTGGATGTTGTGGTCGGCCATGCCAGTCAGTAGCTGTCTGGAACTCTCCCCTCTTACCTTCTCATAGTAAGTGGATGTTTGTGGTCGGCCATGCCAGTCAGTAGCTGTCCTGAAGTCTCCCCTCTTACCTTCTCATAGTAGTGGATGTTGTGGGTCGGCCATGCCAGTCAGTAGCTGTCTGGAGTCTCCCCTCTTACCTTCTCATAGTAGTGGATGTTGTGGTCCGGCCATGGCCAGTCAGTAGCTGTCTGAAGTTCTCCCCTCTTACCTTCTCATAGTAGTGGATGTTGTGGTCGGCCATGCCAGTCAGTAGCT